ACCTGTTTGTTTTGCTTGTATTTACCCAGAATGCCCCATGTTGTAGTCTACTTCCTGCTTTTGGAGCAGTCTCCGGTCCGCTCAGTGTTCTCATATGCATTCGAATCGCACCAGAATTCACTTCAACTGAACAGAGACCGAGGTTTGTAAGCTGACCGGACTTTGGTTACGCATTCACACCTCCTCAAATGAACTTTCTCGGCAAAAAAACTAGAGTTTGATTGAAGTCGACTAAGCAGAGCTGGTTTGAAAGCACCCTAAGATTTGAGATGAAATTAAGATCCCTTAAACCGTCTACTTTGCCATTAAGGTACGACTCCTTAACCAACTAGAAACGTTTCTTTCATGGTGACATTTGTTTACTGCATGTTGTCCAAGACATATTTTCCCTACATGGTTAATAAAGTATATATCTATAAATCAGGCCATCTCAAGCTCAGAATCCAGAATGAAAACTGGAAGCTGTACCTGGATGGATCACAGCCACCAGTTCTCCTAGAGACTCGGTTCCCCATCGACTGTGAAACTTTGAGTCCACATCCAAACAGAAGATGTAGTCCACATCGTTTTTGAGCATCTCCTCGATCAGGGTCTGGATGATCTCCATCCTTCTGGCTGAGATATCCTGCCAACGTTTGGAGTTCGGCACCGAACGCACCACCAGCTGAAAGATGAGAAAGATGAGCTGCTAATCCACAAAAAAATGCCCTTTCAAAAGCATGCATGCATCTTGATCTTCCCAACATTTTGTCATGTTACAACCTTAAATATCAATGTATTTTATGTGATAGTATGACATAGATGTAACACCCATGCCCTGTCTTCTGGTAATCTAAGATCAACTTGTTGACGTCTAAAATAACTACCTGTCCACCACCTACAAACTACAATCAGCTGCTCAGAACCTGGACATTGTTATGTAAATCCTATAACAGAGCCTAAATGATATCATGTAATCCCTTTGAGTGTCATTTCATGTAGAACTTGCACATCATTCGGCCTTGTGGGCAGGTTTTCAGTGTGATATATAGAATCAATTTATATCTGTAAGATATAATCCCTTTAAGTGAAGCGCCTAATTTCACTGGGCAGAAAACAGTAAACAAGGCTAATGTTTGTTGTAACCTTGGGCATGAAACTATACATTCTATTGGTGTTAACATAGTTTGTCTAAAAGAACTTAACGACTAACAAAGTCATTCAAAACCACTGGATGAGACAGTCAGTCAGGTTGAATGTGCTCCAGCGGCGCGCTCCTTTATTATTATAATATGGGAAATTGCTAATACTGGAGGACGGCGGGAAAGACACGGTATAAATTTAGTAGGCTTGACAGGTATGTGCCATTTGTGATCTAAACTGTGAATTCTTCACGTCTTCTGTTTACCTCTCTGCCAGCAGCCATTTTCACTTTGGGCACCTCATTCGGCTGGTCAGTGAACACATAAACCTTCACTTTGAAACCTACGAAGAAGTGCTGCTCCGCCGTCTCCAGGAAGTCCTTCAGGAACCTGATGTACCTGAACAGGAACCGCAATGATCAGAGGTGGAAGCAGACGAGAAACACCCCACTGTGACGTCACACTCACTTCCCAACAGCAAAAACTGTGGCAGCAACGGTGATGTTCCTCTTTTGGTAGATACTGTCAAGCAGAACTGGGTAGAAGGTTCCCTCCCAGACGACCGGCGCCAACCAGGGCGTCACCGACACAACGTCTGTCCGACTGCGATCAGAGAGCGACCGTTAGGGAAACCAGAACCATGAAAAACTCAAACGCAGCAGCAGGGGGCGATACTCACCCATGCGTGATGCTCGGCTGTGGGTATTTCAACCTGAAACACAGACAGTCAGTCAAATAAAGTTCATCCGACACTTCCAGAGGATTCATCCGACACTTCCGGAGGATTCATCCGACACTTCCGGAGGATTCATCCGGCACTTCCGGAGGATTCATCCGACACTTCCGGAGGATTCATCCGACATATCCGGAGGATTCATCCGACACTTCCGGAGGATTCATCCGGCACTTCCGGAGGATTCATCCGGCACTTCCGGAGGATTCATCCATCATTGCAAAGAGCATCAACCCTTCAACAGGGTAAAAGGTCTTGCATTCATACAAAAAGCAAGACAAAGAAAATGATGCAGAGAACATCGCTATGAACCAACATTTGACCTGAATTTCCTCAGCTCCTTTTCATAAATATTTATATACCAAATATTTCTTCTTTATACCACTGTGGTGCTCATTCTGGTTCCCTCCTGAACAGCTCAATTGATTTTGTTTTTTAAAATGAAGTTTAAAAGTAGTTCCAGTATAAAGCCAGAAGAGGACAGTGTTTCCAAACTGTTCCAGGATTTAGCTGTGTCCTGATACTAGAGAGGAATGTGAAGGTACAACAAAGCCTCCCTTAATAGGAGCGGACATCATCCATAAGCTGCAGAAACATCTTTCTCTGGCAAAAACTACAACTCCCAGTAGTTTGAGACTCTGAGCTGATGTTTTATCCAACACATCCGAAGCTGAAGCGCAGAACTCGTCATTACTTGGTTATATGACAGATTACAGATAAAATAACTCGGATTCATGGAGAGAAAAATGGCAAGAACAAAAACTGCTGGAGTTAATTTGGTAGATAAGCAAAAATATTTAGGTACAAAAGGTTGTAGAGTGAAGCATGCAAAGCCCAAAGGAAAACTTATGAGGAACTGTTCATCATTTTAAACAACATCAGAGTCTGAATCACTGGAAAGACGAAAACTCTACAAACGGCTGATGAATGATTAAGAGAAAACAGAGGCAAGCTGCAGACAGTAATTTCTATGTCAGGTAACGTACGTCTTACCCATTGGTTGCCACCAAGTGTAGGTCAGGACTCCTGAAGAGGTGTCCATCCCCAGATCTGTACAACATGCACAAACATCAACACCAAGGTCAGGTAGAGGACAAGCTGACGGCTGAAACCTGCGTGATATTTGAAAAGGACCTGATGGGGATAATTTTAGCTGTTACCAAACTAAGTTTGAGAAGACTTTTAAAATATGAATTAGGCGTTTTTCAACACATAGCATAATTTTGTCTGATTGTGATGCTACGCTTGGCTGTACTAAACAAGAACAAAGCTTTATGTGGTTAACAAACAGGATTATGATAATGATAAGTCAACAAGTCAAACCATCCATCAGCTTTACAGCTCAACCAAACATCTGTTTGCTCTCACAACTCAGGTGACCTCAGTTATTGTTGCTAGCGTTGCTCAGTCAACTCATCCATCAACGCACTCTAGGGAGCTAAACAACCACTGAATTCCTCTCCTGTTCCTCGAAGTCATCTCACTTCTCATCCAAAAGGTTTTTTCAGTTCTGATCATCTATTTTTAATACAACAAATATCTTTATAAGCTTCCTGAACAAAACAGTTTGCATGGTCAACCCAGTGTCAGACTTGAAATAATTACAAGGAAAATTCAAGAGGTCTCGCCTGGAACGTTAACTGGAGATCGGCACCAGCACTTCCCGACCCCACTAAGGGACAAGGGTGTTAGAAAATGGATGGATGGTCTCTGTGAGGATTTGTGTGTTTTCTGAAAACCAACATTAAGCAAAGGCATTGGCATCATGAAACCTCCACAGAGAACCGTCGACTCTCGTCAGCTGATGTTCTGTCCATCTAGAACAATGACTTGGAGCGACTTGAACAATCACAGGAGCAGTTTTGAAAATAAAGACTTTTCCAGTCTGTTCAGTTTTATTTGATTACCTCTCACCAGTTTAAAGGTGAGAGGTAATCCCTGAGAAAACAGGCTCTGATCCTTCTAATCCCCCCTCCACCCTCTGAACAAACCTGGTTTGTTAAAGGTGTGGAGATGGAAACTGGACTGAACTTTGACTGACTTGAACAAAGCAGATCTTTCTGAGTCTGAAACCACTAAACCCAGCAGGTTACCATCCGGTCAGGTGGATGGTATCCCACTCTAACATGGCGCTCTTTCTGTCAAGGATCTGGTGGGTTCACTGTTCTTGGAAAAGCCAGCTTCAGTGAAATTCCCAAAAAAACTTCTCATTAGAGGAAATCCTTCTCTCTAGTCAGAACATGCTTAAAGTTCTAATTAATCCATCTACGATTTTGCAATTTTTGCTATCAAATCTGTGATTTCGTGGCTTTAATTTAGAATTATTTTCAAGGAATTTTGCAAAATATCATTAAACCTCTTTCAAAATCTACATATTGACCTGACTTGTGAATCTACTTGAGTTTAATAAAATATCTGAGGGTTTTGGTGTTGATCTGCTCCCACACTGGACACTGGAATTGCAAGCGCCACTCCAGCCAAAGTTTTGAAATCAGGTAACATTTCTCCAACTGAAGTGAACAGAAGTCGGTAAAACTCTTTGAACGAGGAGCAGCGGATGGAAATCCCACAGCATATGCGCTCATTCTGCAGTCGTGGTTTAGCTGCACCAGACGCAAAGTTTAAAATGTCTGCTCCAAGTGGTCTGGGGAGTGAATGGGCTGAAACGATTAGTCAAATTAATCATGATTAATCGATTAGTGACGCAATCCTCAACTAATTTAGTAATTGATTAATCGTTAACTGGAGTATAAGGATTCAAAAAGGTGATTTGCTGAAATAATAACAGAGCAGCAATTAAGACAAAACTGTACTAAAAACATTTTGTATTTAAGATGATTTTTTTTTCAAATACTGTAAAAAAAAGCTCTATTAATCACATTTGCTGAAAGTCATTACATGAACAATCTGCTGAATCTGCTAATCTTTTTAACTGATTAATCAATTAATCATAATCATAATTAATAGAATCATTGATTACTATAATGATCAATTTCTCAAATTGGCAGCTGCTTTCAGATTTTTCCATCACTGATTAAAAATCCAGTAAGAATCAACACCAATTATATCTTAACATTTGCAATAAACTCACAATTATGTATTAGAAAAAAATGTAGGATTTATTGATTTTCTGCTAATTTCACATAAAACTGGAGGAACAGTTTAATTGTTGTCACTTACTGAACCCTCTACAGCAAATCGCTAAATATTTGAAATATTTGGGTTTAAAGCTGGCTGAGACAATACATGGAAGTGAAAAGAGAAAAAAAGCTGATGGTGCTGCAGCTCCACCTCCTTCCTTTAGTGGAAAATAACAGATTTTGCTAACATCTGCAAAATAAATGCTCTCCATTCAGCGAACTCCTCCCTGCTGCACAAAGAAAGCCCAGCAGGTCGGGCTTCATGAGACAGTGGACAGTCAGGAAACACATCCTGAGGAAAAACTCATCCATTCAGGATCACTGGTGATGAGATGTTATTTTTATCTGGATCAGATGTAAACAGATGCAAAGTTTCTTGAACTCGTTTGAATACCACAATTCAAAAAATTTCCAGAACTTCCTAAATATGTTACCTAAATTAGACATTTGCGGTCCCAAAGTGACCCAGAAAACCTGACAAACACACCAAACTGAACCGAAGTGAGGAAATTACTTTTGATGTGACCAGTCAGAACCAAGCCACCGGTTCCCCTCCACTGTTTACACAACCAGCCGATAAGGAAGAACCCTGAGGGAGTTCTGGCTCTGGACGTGTTTGCACCCTTTGGCTGGAGAGCTTTGCTTCGACTCGGTCGTCAGGTAAACACCCAGCCCGTTCTCAGAACAAAGGTCGCCCCTAAGGCCACGCCCAGCAGTGGCTGTTACTCACCGGCCTTCTGAAGAATCACAGAGGCCTTCCCTGAATCTGCAGAAACAAAAACGTGCAATAATAAGAACCTTAAAACTTCCCTTTGTTACACTGAATGATGAGATGAAGCTGAAGGGAGAGGCTGCAGTGGAAGAGAGTTAGAAACCTGTTCAGCGTTATTAGATGATGCAGATGAATCCCTGCTTCAACAATCCAAAATGGATCTGAGAGTCCATGTTGTTTATTGGAGACTCCCACCACAGAAACACTATTTAAACTCGGTTTTCCTTTTTTTCCTTACGATTACTTAAAAATAAACCCAAGAAATATCAGTTCATCCAGTAAAGCTTTTCATATAGAGTGGGTGCACTGCAAAAAGCACAAAATATTACCAAGTAATTTTGATATAGTTTCTAGTGGAAGTATCTCAGTACACATTAAATACGACAAAACTTCTTTAGAAGTTACTTTTTAGCAAGATATAGTAGTAAAATACTTGTAAAATACTTGTTCCATTGGCAGATTATTTTACTTATGATTCTAAAAGTACCTTTTTTATCAATTACAGCAAATAATACAATTGCCTATTGTTGGAAAACAATAAAAAATTAAGATTTAAAGGAATTTACATCCAAATTTATACAAGAATAAAATCATCATTGATTTTATTTTCATATAAATAAAATCTGTCTCTGTTCAGACACAGAATGGATTTCTGCATGTTGAGACCAAAAGGAAAGAAAAGAGCAAATTCAGGGCAGAAAACAGGAGAAACAGAGATTGTGAGTAAGGAACTACCTGTAGATCGGCTTCAGGTAGATGAACATCACTCTGTGGGTTCAACCACAAACAAGGAAACAGGGATCAGAAACCAGCAATGGGAAAACTGCCACGGCTGATGGGAAGCATGAAATCTTTGTTTTTTATCACGTGAATGAAGCTAGGAGCCTCCAAACCAGGAGAGGACCTCATTAACAGACATGAACATTTTAGAGCTGGAGCTCCTTTCTACACGGCGAGACACAAAAACAGGAAATGTTTCAAATGTGCTGCTGGAGCTGCAGTTTTGCACCAACAGTATGAAACACCAGATATACATATTAGCTTAATGTGATTTTATTTATTTTTAATCACATTAGACAAAGTTCCTGCATAGCTGTTGGTGTTGACTGCATTGTGTCAATCCAAAAGGCTGCGCATTAAAAAAATAAAGTACATTTATATGTGTAGCGAAATATTCAGCTGATCTGAGTCTTTATTATTGTGTTTGGACCAGCAATGAATAATAAAACATCTGGGTTTATTTGAGTCCAGTTTTTTTACAGTGCAACTCGCCAGAGGAAGAGCTCCTGAAATGGTTTGGTTCCTACTCATTTATGTACTTTTCTTTGGGGAAGTGAAAAGCTTACGATCGAATGTCATTTTCTTTTTCCTGTTACTTGTGTTCAGACAAGAAAAAACACTTTCAGGGTGTCTGACTCCTCTGCTTTAAATAGACTGCAGTGAACTGAAGTGAGCGAGACATATAGGTACCGTTATGACAAAATTTAATCGGTAGAGTGATTTATGACCCTAATCATTAATTGCTTTTGATTTCTGGTGACAGGTGTTCATCCCTCTTCCCCCCAGATGTGCCCCCCTTAAATAAACATTCCTTTGACACCTGTTAATCCCCAAAGTTCAACATTTTTTTGACGGTTGTTAATCCCCAAAGATAAACATTCCCATCTTTGGGAACTTTTTCCCGCCTCTATGAATTAGCCAATAGAAACAGGTATCAGCAATGAAACATTTCTCTCTGGTAGGTGCAATTTGAGCCTGGCACAGGACATCTGTTTGTCAATGATTTAAAGTACAACATAGTCACAAAGGGGAGGGTTGATGGCACTGGTGCTCAGTGTGGATTAAAGTACAACACATTTTAAGTCTTGTTTGTGATTTCCTTCATGCAATCAAAAAAAAACCTGAATCTATAAGAACTAAACTCTAAAAGTTCCTCATTTGTACATGTATTTCTTAAGGATATGTGACAGGCAGTAAACAGGCCTAAAATTTAACATTTAGCTTTCTGCAGTTAAAGTGAAAGACAAACTCTAACATCACTTCCTTTCCAGAATTTGGCCTCAGATCATTGTGAAGCTTTCAGGTTTCGGTGTTCAGTCTTTTTCCTGCTATTGAATCAACACTGATCTCCTCACTGCTTCATGCTTTCTCCAAAATAGTAAAGGTTGGTTTAAATACATTTGAAACTCAGATTTTTCCCTGTAACACTTGCTAATGTGATGCATGTCAGTAAAAGTTCCTCATCTGTGCATTTATTTCGTAAGAATATGTGACAGGGACTAAACAGGCCTAGGTGAGGCTACTCATATTTAACTTTCAGTTTTCCCCAAAGTTGAAAGTTTTTTTTTTACACTGCACAAACACACTTAACCATCTTGCTCACAAGATGGGAAATTGTTTTGTTACCTTTAAAATTATCCACAACTTTTGACCTTGACTTATACGCTGTATGTTCCTTTGCCTTAATGATGCATTCTTGAAAATATTTAATTTGCAGAATCCTGATAATAAAACTTCAATTGTGAACTGAATGATTAGATTACATCTAGATTCAACTGTTAATTAGTAATCATACTATGGAAATGACTATCAGAACTATAATTTTTATTGCTTTGAGTATCATGTAAAAGTTTTCCGAAGTACATCACACTTGAGGTTCAACATTCGCTGCAGCACACACACACAGCCACACACACACTGCAGTACTCACCCCAATACCACAACCAGAAACAGAAGCACTGCCACAAACTTTAGGTTCATCGTCTTCGTCGGAGTCCAACAGAGTCTGTTCTGACGCCTCTCCGTCCTAAACTTCAAATCCAGCAGATTCTGAAAGAGGCTCCTCTTCACAGTCTATTGGAGATCTTTAAGCTTCACTGGATTCCTATGTAAAGAGACCAGGAGATGTTTAGATCCTGCTGACTTGGACAGAGAGTGAACGGAGAACAAACAGTGGCGAGAGAGAGACGGAGGGAAAGAGAGAGACAGGGAGGAGGTTGGCTGGTAGAGATAGCCAGTAAGAGTTGCTCCCTGTTACTGCTTGTTAATGCCTGCAGATAGACAAAGCATTCAGGTGAGCTCCAGTTTTAACGAATAACCTGATTTTTTTCCAGGTGAAGCCCAGGTGTAATTAAACACCTATGCAACTTGTCTGTCCTCTTAATCATTCATCCTGTGGAATGTCCTGCTGGGTTTTTTCTGCCCCTGATGTCATTCTGAAGCCCCATAAATGTCCAGACTGTTAGCTTAGCAGCTAATAGTCACACCAAAGTGTTAACATGGAAAAAAGAGAACTCTTCGTGTAAAAACAGGTCTTTTTCTTACATGCAGACAGAAACCAGACAGCTTGAGTTAATGATAGACTTCTGAAACTACACTTCTGTTATTCAATCACCATAAAATACAAAACATTTCCTTCCTGATACCAACATGGAAACAGTGTGAACAGGACGTCTAATGTGTACAAACCTAAATCAGTAAATTAACTTTAGTGCTCACCTGAAGACTGAAGACCACAAAGCATCAGTTAGTTTGACTTTATCATTTTAGTTTGACTTCAGAGCAAACTATATAAAAAGTCAGATCAGATCAACATCTGATCAATATCTTGATCAGACAAAGCACTCTATTTACAAGAACACAGTTAGTCAGTATGTTCCTACACACTGACAGGACTTTAATTATCCCCATTTGGTGTTTATATATTCTGACTTAAATGCCAATAAATAAGCCTACAGAGCAGTGGTTCCCAATAGAACAGTTAGCATCAGCTAACTGTTGTAAAATTAGACATAGCTAAAAAGTACAACATGATAAAACTACACCACTCAATTAGTTCTGGTAGAACACATTTAAAGTGTTTTTTGCAATCCTAAGAGCCAAATGTAGCTATTTTTGTACAGTTTTGGCTGAATTATTGTTCTGAATATGTTGTTCTTTCAGTAAGTGGCTTTTGTTTGAGTCTGTATAGTCCAGTTAAAAATTAATTGATTACTAAATTAGCTGGTGATTGTTTAAATAGATCACAATCAATTCAATTAATTGGTTCATTGGTTCACATTTATAAAAATGTTAAACTTGAAAATTGTCTCAAAATTACAATATTGTCTTTTATTGCAATAATTTCTGTCAGTTTGTTGTCCAGTAAAGTTTGCAATTGTGGCAAGCCTAACTACAGAGTTTTTAAATTAGACCAAGTTTTATTCAGATATTAGTTTATAGATATCTGAACATCATCAGCCTAAATTTAGAAACTCTAATATGATGGAGCCACTTTTTCTATGCAAAACTCGGAGGTATACTCGTTTGATTAGGGATCAAAATTGCAACATTTGTTACATTTTCAGCAGCTGTGGTTTGCTTTCACACTGCAGTGTCAAACGAAACAGTTTGAGAAACCTGCTCCCCCCTCGCCTGTAGGGGCGCTGCACCAAGAACCACTGAAGGAAATAACATGAAAACCTCCAAAGGAGACACTGAGCGCAACTTCCCTCTTTATGAAATGAAAACAAAAATGGAGTAGCGTCAGTAGCAGTTGCAGGATTACTCTCTTGTCTTTGGCTAAAGACTACCAGCCATTTCTCTTGCTATTGTTAATTTAACGTGTTCGTTTTGGTTGTTTTTACCCAGAATGCATTACTTGGATCAAACATTTCAGGAAATAGAAACAATTTGGGTAATTTAATTTTTTTATTTGGTTCAAACTAGGTTGAAACAGAACAGTCCCTCTCAGAGCGATGAGGTGGAACTCGATTTATGTCCTCCACTCTGTTAACGTTATCATAGAATAACATTGTTAACAGTATCATAATTATGTCATAAGGTTTGACAGTTCCAGGTACAAAATTCAAAAAGGGTGAGCCAGTTGAAGAACAATAAGGTGATTATTCTATTAAACAGACACCTGACACAACAATTAAACCAAATAGTCAACATATCAAATAGTCAACATACCTACGATGGCATATTAAAGATGTTGTAGATAGAAAAAAAGGAGTAATAAATTACAGCCAAAAGAAAAAATACTTTACTGAAAATTTCTGAGCTACAAAAGTTTAAAAAAAAGAAAAATGCTAGAAAAATCTCAGAAATCTTGAGAAAAAAGTTCAAAATTTTCAACTTTTGAAACTCAAAAATTTTAAAGTTTTTTTTTCTAGAAGATTTCTGAGATTTGTCTGAGAAATTGGCATTTTTCTAGCAAATTTTTTACCTTGTTTTGTTCTAGAAAATCTTACATAAATGTAGAAAAATAAAAGTTTTTCTAGCAAACTTTTTACTTATGAAACTCAGAAATTATCTTGCTTTTCCTAGAACATTTTTGAGAATAATCTCCAAACTTTACGGTTTTATAGCAATTTTTTTGACTTGAAAATCAGAAATTTGCTTGTTTTTTTCTAGAAGATTTCTGAGATTTTTGTTGGAAATGTACAGTTCCTTTGTGTTTTTTTGTTTTAGTTTTTAATACAATTTAAAAATAAAATCCATATGATTGGGGTGTTAATGCTAAAAAATAAAATCCACACTGCTAAATCAGCATAAATCAGCTGCTTTTTGACAAACAGAAACTGAGAAGCAACCAGAACTGCAGCTGGTAGACTGCCTGTTATAATCCGGGCTTCCAGGTTCTGTTTGGTTCCTCAGTTAAAACAAACATGTGACAAAGTTCTGACCCAAAATTGTTCATATTTTACAATCCTTGAACAGCAACATGAACTCATCCAGTCCTGTTTGCTGCTCCAGATATTCTCACCGTTAAAGTCCGAAACAGAAAACATCCTGCCCCTAAAACGAACCACGACTGTCTCCAGGTCGACCGACTCAGAACTCCCAGAACGGCTGTTAAACTCATGTGCGCTGAAGGGCCTGTCACCATGGCAACGGCCATGGAGTCCAACGGCAGGAAGTCCCTTAGAGAGATTTTCAAGATAAAAACAGAAACGGACAGAATCTGCAAAAAATCCGTGTATGGTTCGTTCTTTGTTTTTTGTTTTCCGTTTCAAATTAAAATTGCATAAACAAAACAAGCATGTGTTTTTTTTGTTTGTTTTTTTCGTTTTTAAAACGAAATTAGAAAAACGGCAATTGCAAAAATAAAAAAAGGGGTACATTTTGGGGGGTGGGGGTTTAACTGCAATGGTTAAACCAAAGATAAGCTTTTATTTTGTTGTTAATTCAACGGGGCCTTATGGCGGAACCAGAAATGAAGACCTGAACTCCCGACACATAACTTTTCCAGTTACCAGTAGTGGCGGTAATGTACACATGGCGACGCAAAGCATTACTGGTTTCAGAGTATGTTTTTTCTCTCTCAAAAAGTTCGATAATCAATGCAGAAAACGGTTCAAGTGCAGCCATTGTCTATTATTTAGGGATGGTTTGTCTTTATGCCGTCTTCATCCACTGTAAATGATTTTTCTTTGGCGACTTACTTCATTTCCAGTATCGCTACATATTAAAACAACAACCGTATTTTATTTTTATTTAGATGGCAAAGCAAAACTCAAACACTGTTGATTTTCTATTAATTCGATTTTGCATTTTTTAGATTTAGGTATCAAAAACGAAGAAACAAAAAAAAAACACATCCTTGTTTTGTTTATGAAATTGTATTTTAAAACGAAAAAACAATGAACGAACCATACACGGATTCAAGAAACATAAAAACTATCAATGCACTTTTGATTTTAACATCTACTTAACCTCCCAGGAATCAATCAGCCTGGGGTCGTTGAGTGGGGGGAAAAAAGAAATTTTAACTTATGTAAAATAATAATAATAAAAATTTATATATATATATATATATATATATATATATATATATA